TATTCAGAGCTCATGTCTGCGATACATTATCAACTAAAAGGATAGTTGATTACAACATACTTTACTTCAGCGTAATTTCATTCTACAACAACTACGCCAAGAGTTAGTTTGATTGTTGATTATTTGCATGAACTGCTTCACGTAAGCAGTGACAAGATCTACTATAATATGTATCTGTTTATATCCAAATTTATGCATGTTCATTTAAAGTCTAACTTCAGCCACCACTGGACAGTGGAGGAAATTTTTACAAACCGAACGAAGCGATACGCCGCGAAATTGATCGTGTAAATGCTCTTTAGTGGACTGACAATCTACGCTGAGCCCCGACTATTGCAGTCAAGAAATGACAACCAAGAAAATCCCGCGAGACCCATCGCGTAAAGAGCTATAACAATAGCTTGTATTTTATTGTCGTTTATTCATTTGCAATCTACCCTTGACCATACAGTCAAGAAATTACAAACCCAAGCAAGTCCTGCGAAATCCATCACGTAAACAGCTAAAACAATAGCTTGTATTTTATTCCTGCTTGTTCTATTTGCAATTCACCCTTGATTATCACAGTCAAGAAATTACAAACCAAGCAAATCCCGCGAAATCCATCGCGTCAACAGCTATAACTATAGCTTGTATTTTATTCCTGCTTGTTCCATTTGCAATTCAACCTTCACCATCACCAGTCAAGAAATTACAAACCAAGCAAATCCCGCGAGATCCATCGCGTAAAGAGCTATAACAATAGCTTGTGTTTTCTGTTCCATTTGCAATCTATACTCTTGACGAGAAGTCAAGGAGCTGGCAACCAGCGAATGGAGGCAGTGACAAATATTAGTGTGATTTGTATAACAACACAAACCTAAGTAAGGACTTAACACTGAACGTTGGGACATATTGGGACCGAAGCTAATGAAAACTCTATTGGATGTGTAAATATCAAGACAGTAGCTCAAAAGGTCACAGATATTAGTGTAATTTGTATAACAACACACACATTAGTAGGTCCTCTCAAACATCTCAAGTGACAAATAACAATAAAAAAGAGTCTTGCGAAATCGATTATCGCAATGCCTAAGAACCCAACAAGGAATATGATCGGTCATATCTAGATATGTATATCACAGACACTACGTTGATAGAATGGACTACAAAATAATATGTCAACAAGCATCACACTGGTATCGTAAATTATAGAACTAATAAAGTTACGATAAATACAGAACTTGACGAGACAAGACTTAATACAAACCTGAAGGTCTGCTCCATTAGGATTGCCTTGTGCGGCGCCAGCTTCAACGGCGGCTGGTGGCTGTACCGGTTCATTAACTGGAGGCTGTGGGGCTGCTTGTTGATCATCAGCAATAGGGGTATTGAACTTCTGGTTTAACGGGCATAGTGCTATACTGTTAAAGCTTGGTAACAAAATTTTTGTGGGTCATACACTCGTATCGTTTCTCCGGCAAGCACTCCGCGTATAAATTGAGCATGAGTGGCGTAATCTGTGTTACACACTCTTCTTTTATGTTCCGCATGTCTAACACACGTGGCTATTTCCTTCCAATCACAAGCACAGCATTGTTATGGTAAATTTAAACTTTGCATATCATTATACGTGTTGTGAATAGCCATGCATTATTGCCTAATATGAGGTGAAATATTTCAAACGCTTAATTCTTTAATATTGATTTCCTAGACTTGAAATTCACTAAGAATGTTTAGAAGGTATTGACAAAGGATACAACAGAATATTAGTCCAGCAGTTCATTTCATTCAGTTCAAAAAAATTGAAAACCATAGTCTAAAATAGCAATTTTTCCCTTATATGAGATTTCAGATTTGAAAGCTAAATTCTTTAATAATGATTTGCTAGACTTGAAATTCCGCATGAATGTTCAGAAGGGATTGGCAAAAGATACAACAGAATATTACTTCAGCAGTTCATTTCATTCAGTTAAAAAAATTTGAAGATCATTGTCTAAAATAGCCATTATTATTGCCCAATATGAGGTGAAAAGTTTTAAAAGCTAAATTCTTTAATATTGATTTGCTAGACTTGAAATTCAGTATGAATGTTCAGAAGAGATTGGCAAAAGATACAACAGAATATTAGACCAGCAGTTCATTTCATTCATTTCAAAAAATTTGAAAACCATTGTCTAAAATAGCAATTTTTCCCTTATATGAGATGTCAGACATTGAAAGCTAAATTTTTAATATTGATTTGCTAGACTTGAAATTCAGTATGAATGTTCAAAAGGGATTGACAAAGGATACAACAGAATATTACACCAGCAATTCATTTCATTGAGGTCAAAAAAATTCAAAACAATTGTCCAAAATAGCAATTTTTCCCTCATATGAGGTGTCAGATTTTGAAAGTTAAATTCTTTAATATTGATTTGCTAGATTTCAAATTGAGCAAGAATGTTCAGAAGGAATTGACAAAGCATACAACAGAATATTAGACCAGCAGTTCATTTCATTCAGGTCAAAAAATTTGAAACCAATTGTCCAAAGTAGCAATTTTTCCCTTATATGAGATGTCAGATTTTGAAAGCTAAATTCTTTAATATTGATTTGCTGAACTTGAAATTCAATAAGAATATTCAGAAAAGATTGGCAAAGGATACAACAGAATATTAGACCAGCAGTTCATTTTATTAAGTTCAAAAAATTTGAAAACCTTTTTCTAAAATAGCCAATATTGCCCAATATGAGGTGAAAGATTTTAAAAGCTAAATTCTTTAATATTGATTTGCTGGACTTGAAATTCAGAATTAATGTTCACGAGGGATTGACAAAGGATACAACAGAATATTACACCAGCAATTCATTTCATTGAGTTCAAAAAAATTCTAATCAATTGTCCAAAATAGCAATTTTTCCCTTACATGAGGTGTCAGATTTTGAAAGTTAAATTCTTTAGACGGGATTAGAGTGTTCAGATTGGATTGACAAAGCATACTTTAGATTGTTCAGAAGGGATTGACAAAGCATACAACAGAATATTAGACCAGCAGTTAGGGATGCCGTAAGTTATTTAGGGCAAGGGGTGCAATTTGTTATTAAAAGGGCATATTTTTGGACAAAAGGGCACAAACAAAAATGAAAATGCACTTAATTAGCCCTAACCAATGAACTAAGACCTGTACAATTTAATAAACGAGAAAACTTTTATTGATTTCGAGCAGAAAACTACAACTATATATTGAGGCACATTTTTTTGCCATGCATTAAGTATGTCGTGTTCACTTCGACTTTTTGGCAAAATAGTTTAAAGGGATTGTCCAAAGTAGCCTTTCCTTTGAGATGACCTTGAAATAAAGTCTGCTGTTAACTTCTTTGCGCTAATGTCGTTAATTCTTTGCTTGTGAATTGCTGCAAACATGTAATTTGTAAGCATTCCAGGACAAAGTCTTGATCTGAGCCAGGTCTTGACCGGTCTCGTGACACTGAATGTCCTTTCCGCAGTTGCAGACGACATTGCATATGTGGACAGGAGAATTAACAGCTTATGCGTCTCAGGAAGTAAAGCTTTCGAGACAGGCTTTGTATTCAACACAACTTGGATAGTTGAGATAGCAGTAACCTTTTTAATGATAGGCATAGACTCCAGTTTCAGTTCCATGTTGTACAAATTGACGTGGACATGTAGGTCTTTCAATTCTTCAACCAAAAGATCGACTTGCAAAAATTTTGCAGCGACGCCAAGTTGCCTAGTGACATATTCAGTGGTGACATCGACTTCGTTGTTAGCACATGAGATTAGCATTCGGTTGATATCCTTGACTGTTTTAATGTCATTTTGATCAAACCTTTCCTTCATCAAACTCACGATGCTGTCAATCGAACAGATATATACACGTTTGAGTTCTGTCTTAAATCATTGGAATCGTGTCCACTGGGTGCCACATCATAAGTGATAAAGTCTGCGATTCTTTTTGGTGCCTTTTTTGGTCTGTTTTCATTAGTCACATCAATTCGTAGCTTCAACTCTTCAACTTTCTTAATGAGCTAGAAAATAAAAAGTATAAATTAAATACACTGGAATGACTGGATATTGGTAACAGTTTGAACTTTGAACACATATTTTACTAGCTATCTTTTATTGGTTGGCGTTGTTTACCTTTTATAATTCTTCAGCACTGGATCTCATTTCCGCAAGCCTTATTTCAATCTTGTTGATGCAGTCCATTGCTTCTTTTGCTGTGACATCATTTTTTTGTAGATTTTTTGAGTTCATTTCCAGAATATGTGCAAGATCTCTCATAAGAAACATATTAAACATGTGCTTGGCGGTTTCCAGTTTTGTGATAAGCCCCTTCGCTTTTGGTTTTGCATTTGCTATCAATATTTCTATCTACGGAGATCATCTTTAATCTAACGTTGCTAATAGTTCCGCGTGCTTTAAAGTTATAACACTCGCTGCAGCCCCTCTTGTTGTCCACCTAGTCCTTGAGAGGTTCAAGAGACGCAACACATCATCACTGTCACTCTCATCCTGGATCTTGGTAAATAGAGCCACACGTTGGCTAGACACATAGGGCTGATCCCTACGATGACATACAGATCTTCACATAGTGCTTGAGGATCCTCGAATGCTGGGCAATGCTTAGTTGCATCTTTGAAGATTAGTTCTTGGCAATGTGCTAAACAGTGAATGAAAATAGCTGAATCATTCATTTCACTTTTGATTTTCTTTGCCAGAGATTTCATGGTCATTGCACCATGAAATGTCATTTCAACTAATCTTATCAAATAGTTGACACCTTATTAAAATATCTTTGATGTATTCACACACAGCATCTGTTGTTACACCCTCCCTGCATTCATAAATACCAATAAAGTCCTCTCTTATTTCATACTCTTCAGTACATTGACGTATTGATAAGGACATGTGTTCTTACTTTGAGATGTCAGTGGTTCATCCACTATGATGACATAGTATTTGACTCTTTGGAGCTCCATGTTTAGTGCTCGTCTAGCCTCAAGAACAAGAATTACTGTTGCTCTCCAAGCAAGCTGTGAGACATAAACCTGTTCTCTTTCATTAGTAGTTTTAGCCCTGGGATATGTTGACTCTTGTCTTTATTAAACTGGTAGACATTGCCTTCTTTATCTTCCTGTCGTCGAATCGCTAAACCATGTCGAAAGAGTTTTTTTAGTTTTCCAAAATGGGCTTCTAGTCCCTCTTGTCGTAGTCTATTATTTCTACATTCTTCATCACTAAGAAGCTGAGGTATCTTTTCCTTTTCTTTTGACAATTCAGTTGTCCTACACTGCCTATGATAATCAGATAATTGGTGCATGTTAAAGCGTTCAGGGTCTTTGTTCCATGACGAGAATCCATCTGATGTTTCATCTTTATAAATGAATGTCGCTCTGGGATCATGACCTCCTTCCTTTTGATTTGATGAGCATATGGAACAAAATGCAGTTTGTTTTCTTCTGTGGTACTGCAACCAGGGCCAAGTCGTTAGCCATTTACCATTGAAACATCTCTCCTTTCTTTTACTCTTTTCTCTAATAATAGAACAGAACAACTTAAATAAGAAGCTCTGTAAACAGGGGGCTGTGGGCACAGCAGAGGAGTGGAAGTGTGGCACGCTGAGCCCTAGGATGAATCTCACTTTATATGATAGTGCTAGTAATAATTCAGTAAACTACTAGTACAACGTTGTTGATAATTCGGCATAGCACTGCTTAGAGAATTGTGTATATGAATTGATGTGCACATCTTTGCCTACAGCTTCAAAGGATTCCTTTCGAAAATCACTTAAGTCAAATTGACCTTCCTTGTTTGGCCACTCTGTGGTGCCCGAAAATTCGTCAACAATGTGTATTCCTGTTAGTTCCAACTGCAAAGTGCAACCTAACCATTCAGTTTGTAAACTTCGAAAATTTTGGACTAAAAATCACTAACGAAAACAGGTCATTTATCCCATCCACTTACCCCAAACATACAGGCTAACCTTTCTACGTTAACTTGACTCTTTTTTAATTTTCTATCTTTTCTTTCATCGCCTTCACCGAAGGAAAAATTTAAGTTTTCGTCTTCCATATTTCGTGTTGTGTTGATATCCAATATGTCATACCAACGGAAAATGCACGAAAAAAACTAAAAGGCGCGAAAAATCCAGCGGGGGGTGTTGGCATGAGAAAACTTCTAAAAATCAGCCCTTTGATGGAAATTGAAATTCAGTTTGAAAATCCGTTTTCCCATGTTTAGAAAATAGTTTGAAAGTAACCAAGAAAAATCTTTATTTGGTTCCATTTCTCAGATGAAGAGAGCGGAATTCAATTCTATTTCCGTTTTTTTCAAACATCAAAAAGAAAAAACGTAATTTTATGATCGCAATTCGATTTTTGTTTCAGTGAAATACGAATGGCCCTTAGATACATGCATTCAAAATAGCAATTTTTCCCTTATATGAGATGTCAGACATTGAAAGGTAAATTCTTTAATATTGATTCACTAGACTTGAAACTCAGTATGAATGTTCAAAAGGGATTGACGAAGGATACAACAAAATATTACACTAGCAATTCATTTCATTGAGTTCAAAAAAATTCAAAACAATTGTCCAAAATAGCATATTTTCCCTTATATGAGGTGGTGTCAGATTTTATAAGTTAAATTCTTTAATAATGATTTGCTAGATTTCAAATTGAGCAAGAATGTTCAGAAGGGATTGACAAAGCATACAACAGAATATTACACCAGCAGTTGATTTCATTGAGCTCAAAAAATTTGAAACCAATTGTCCAAAATAGCAATTTTCTCTTATATGAGATGTGAGATTTTGAAAGCTAAATTCTTTAATATTGGTTTGCTGAACTTGAAATTCAATACAAATGTTCAGAAGGGATTGACAAAAGGATACAGCAGAATATTAAACCAGCAGTTCATTTCATTCAGGTCAAAAAATTTGAAACCAATTGTCCAAAATAGCAATTTTTCCCTTATATGAGATGTCAGACATTGAAAGCTAAATTCTTTAATATTGATTTGCTAGACTTGAAATTCAGTATGAATGTTCAAAAGGGATTGACAAAGGATACAACAGAATATTACACCAGCAGCTCATTTCATTCAGTTCAAAAAATTTGAAGACAATTGTCTAAAATTGCCAATATTGCCGAATATGAGGTGAAAGTTTTTAAAAGTTAAATTCTTTAATATAGATTTGCTAGATTTCAAATTGAGCAACAATGTTCAGAAGTGATTGACAAAGCATACAACAGAATATTAGACACGTTATTCATTTCATTCAGTTCAAAAATTTTGAAACCAACTGTCCAAAATAGCAATTTTTCCCTTATATAAGGTGTCAGATTTTGAAAGCTAAATTCTTTAATATTGATTTGCTGAACTTGAAATTCAGTAAGAATGTTCAGAAGGGATTGACAAAGGATACAACCGACTATTAGACCAGTAATTCATTTCATTCTGTTCAATAAATTTGAAAACAAGTGTCCAAAAATTGGTAAATTAAACGAGAATTACCTGTAAGTTGAAGTTTGATTGCAATTCTATCACATGGCACATAGAGTCAAGAGATTACATAAGATCCCTTACGAAAATGTGCTATAGAATCCTATAGAATATGCTATAACATATTCTAAATCCCATAGAATATTCTATAGGACTTCTTATCCTATAGCATATTCCATTGCCATATTCTATAGAATTTAGAGATGCTATAGAATATTCTATTGCACATTCACAGTAAAATATATTCTATAGAACATGCTGTACACAATATTCTATAGAATTTAGAGATGCTATAGAATATTCTATTGAACATTCACATTAAATATCCAATAATATATTCTATAGAACATGCTGTACACAATATTCTATAGAATATATGTTATACAGAATGAGACCTTTATGCAATTTAAAATATAACATTTTTAGTACACTATTCATTGGTCGAGAATTATATTCGCATTTTTTGTAAGGTTCTCTCAACATACTTTTGAAGTCTTAAAGTTAAAATTCTCAGCAGAAATCATTCGTTTTGTAAAGACAAATCACGAATATTTCACACATATGACATATCTCATATCTGTTTCATAATATGCCCGTTCGCAGGTTAGATGGCGGGCGTTTTGCCCAAACAAGGCCGCAAGGTTATGTGGGACTTGTTTAACCGCCACGCATTATTTTCAAATTTTGAGCGCGTCTTTGTATGTAGTTTGTCATCCGTTGATTCAACGTTTTATAACTGATGCTGGTAGAATTTAGTGCGTTTTTCTTTCGTATTTTAACATAAAATACGCATTCTTTGAATTTGTCAAAGAGGAATCATAGGAGGGTGGTGAAACGCGCTGTAGTATGCGAGAAGAATCAGAAGATATGGATAATTTCGTGACTAGGATCGTGAGAAAGAAAGGCCATGGCAATGAGAAATTTCTAAAGTTAAGAAAATAATCAAAAGTTTATTGACCCATCTATACAACAACATGTGTAGCTAAAGTATTGGAATTCAGTGGTGAGTGTGTTTGTATATGCTATAAATGCTATATGTTTGTATACGCAACATATGTTCTGTATACCATTATAATTAATCTCATAAATTTTTATTCACCTTTAGATTAAACTTTTTATTTGAACATTTTATTTACACCTTTTATTTATACCACTATAAATAGAGCCATTCCAACTAAAAATTATTTCTGTCAAGACATTTGCACTAGCTCTAGATAAATTTTATATATCATTAAAATTGAATTAAATATAAGCTAGGTCTCAAGTGTTTAATTGTGTGTTTACTGTTAAAATTTACAGATTTCCTTTTGTCCAAGCATCACACTAACCAAAGGTCAAAATGGAGCTCTATTAAAGCAATATTAAATGTGAAAGGTTTTGTTTATGCAGTGCCGTGGATGCAAGAACAACTTTGCTCTCATTCCATCACTGGAAAGGCTTCAAATGCCTAGCTTAATTCAAAGAAAAGGATGCAAAACCAGAGCCAGAGAAAGTTAAGAGTATGTATGGTAAGCAGTATAATTAATTGTTAGTAATTATGTCTGGTCTAAGTTAATATATCTTTTATACATATCTTGGTTCAGTTATTGATGAGTTTTACCTTTTCTACCTGTGTCTAAAGTATGGTGCAAAAAGGTTTGAGGGAAAAGAGGCTGACATATGACAAGTTATGGCACCAAAGATTAATAATATTGTGCAAGTTGAGAAAACCAAGTTGAAAGCATCTGGACATCAGTAACTATATGACATTCCATTTTCTACTATTTACATGTTCTGTACATGTAAATATATTTAATATAATAGCCTAGTTATATTTTTGCTATTTTCTTGCACAATCATTTTATTTGGTGGGAAAACTGCAGTATGGTAATAATTTTATCTAGAAAATATTGAATAAATTTATACATTCATAAAAAACCAAGCTAAAATTTTTCAATTTGAGTGACACCATATTGTTTTCAATTACTTAGTGCATAATATTTCAATTGAATCCTCCTCAAAATGTGTGAAATGTATATAATTTTCACTTAACTACCATTTAAGCTAAACAGCCTTCAAACAACCGGCTGCAGTTGTTTTATCCACAAAACAAAATGATTTAGACCTAATTACCAGAACTAGAGTTCTACATGCAGATTAAAGTTATATGGACACTTATAGGACTTGTTTTTTATTCTTTGTTGTATAATATATGTATTTCAATTTCTTTAATCTTATTTATATGTAATTTAAGCAAGGCATTTTCATTAAATCTTTGCATCAATTGAACTTTAAGTAAATAAATTTGTTACATATATTTGGGAATATTTTATTTGTTTGTATATCTCACTCTTGGCAGAAAGAAGTTTTGATTATGTTGTTATAAAGTGATATATTTCAAAGTCAAAAAATGGACGAATGTTGACTATACCATTTATCATCCAATAGCATATTTAATAGATTATCCTATAAAATATACTATAGAATACATATTCTATGGAACATTTTATCACATATTCAATAGGATCATTAATGGAATATTCCATAGATTGAAAATATTTTATGGAACATTTCATATAGGATGTCATAGAATATGTGCTAGAATGTTCCATAGAATACCAGTATTCTATAGAACATTCTAATGAATGTTCTGAAGGATATTCTATTGAATATTCTATAAAACATGGCATATGTTATAGAATATTCTATTAAAGGTGCTATAGAACATGTTGTAGAACGTTCCATAGAATAGGTTCCAAAATCCCTTAGAATATTCTATAGGATATTCAGTAGAGAATTTTAATGGAATATTCTATAGAACATTTTTGTAAGGGATAGCAAAGCGCATGCGCGGGTTCATTCTTTAAATTATTTTGCTGGGTTCATCAGTATGATACACACAGGGATAAATGGTAATACACCCAGTGATAAAAACAAAGTAGAGACACGGGAATATAATATGTACATATATTATACATATGTAACGATGATGCAGGGTGGACATGGAATCTCCTGACTCTATGTGCCATGTGATTGAATTCCAATCAAACCTTAACTTACAGGTAAGTCTCGTTTAATTTACCAATTCTATCACATGGCACCGAGTCAGGAGATTCCGTGAGACTTTAAAGCCCTGATGTACACAGCAATGACATATACCGATTTTAGGCATGGAACATGATGAACAAAACCATATTATTATTAATTCAACATGTTTTAAGTACTGCCTCAGTCATAGTCATATCAGAGGCTACAGGCTTATTATAGTACTTTTGAAATGTGCTGTCTGAGCTCCAACCTGCTGATTTTATCAATATGTCCAATGGTACATTTTGGCAAGCTTTCGATTTGGCAGCTGCTCGAGTACTGTGTGCTGAATATACAGTGGTGTCAATCCCAGCATTATCGAGGACAACTTTAACCCATCTTGATATAGTTTCTTTTGATACAGGTTGATACGGTTTTTGATAGCTAATGATAAGTTGCTTGTCATCCCCACGTACACTTTTTGTTCTTTGTAGGTACTCTTTTAAAACTAAGATAGGACAAACGCTTTGGTCAGGTGTGTACTGCTCAATCTTGAGAAT